TGATGTTAGCTGTGGCTTTTTCATATGTGGCCTTTATTATGTTGAGGTATGTTCCCTCTAAACCTACTTTGTTAAAGGCTTTTATCATGAATGGATGTTGTACTTTGTCAAATGCTTTTCCGGAATCTGTTGAAACGATCATATAGTTCTTATCCTTTCTTTTACTGATGTGATGTATCATGTTGATTGATCTGTGAATATTGAACCACCCTTGAAACCCAGGAATAAATTCCACTTGATTGTGGTGAATATTTTTTTAAATGTATTGTTGGTTTCAGTTTGTTAGTATTTTATTATGGATTTTTGTGTCATCAGAAATATTGACCTGTAGTTCTCTTTTTTGTGGTGTCTTTATTGGTTTTGGTATCAGGGTAGTGCTGGCCTCATAAAATGGATTTGGAAGCTTTCCTTCCTTTTCTATTTTTTGGAAGAGTTTGTGAAGAATAGGTATTAACTCTTCCTTAAGTGTTTGGTAGAGGGGTGCCTGAGTGGCTCAGTCAGTTAAAAATCCGACTCTTGATTTCAGCTCACATTGTGATCTCAGGGTCATTAGATCCAGCCCTATGTCAGGCTCCGGACTCAGCAGGGAGTCTACTTGGATTCTCTCTCTGCCCCTCCCTCCCCACCCTCTCTCAAAATAAATAAATAAATCTTAAAAAAATGTTTGGTAGAGTTCATCTATGAAGCCATCTGATCTTGGACTTTGTTTATTGGGTTTTTTTGATTATTGATTCTTTTTCTTTTTTTTTGCTTGTAATTGGTCAGTTCAAATTTTCTGTTTCTTCCTGTTTCGGTTTTGGTAGGTTTATGTTTCTAGGAATTTATCCATTTCTTCTGGCTGTCCAATTTGTGGGCATGCAGTTTTTCAGAATATTCTCTTATAATTGTTTGTGTTTTTGTGGTGTTGGTTGTTATTTCTCCTCTCTCATTTGTGATTTAATATATTTGGTTCCTTTTTCTTTTTGATAAATCTGACTAGGGGTTTATCAAATTTATCAATTCTTTCCAAGAACCAGCTCCTGGTTTCATTTATCTGTTCTATTGTTTTTCTATTTATCATTTACTTCTGCTCTAATCTTCATTATTTCCTTCCTTCTGCTGGTTTTAGGTTTTTTTCTTATTGTTTTTCTAGCTCTTTTCAGTGTAAGGTTAGGTTGTTTATTTGACATTTTTCTTGCTTCTTGAGCTAGGCCTGTATAGTATAAACTTTCCCCTTGTAACCATTTTTGCTGCATCCCAAAGATTTTGAACTGTTGTGTTTTCATTTTCATTTGTTTCCATGTACTTTTTAATCTTTTATTTCCTCTTGACCCATTCATTGTTTAGTAGCATGTTACTTAACCTCCATGTATTTGTGATCTTTCAGATTTTTTTCTTGTGGTTGACTTCTAGTTTTATAGCGTTGTGGTCAGAAAAGATGTATAGTATGACTTTGATCTTTTTGAATCTATTGAGGCTCGTTTTGTGGCTTAATATGTGTTCTATTCTATGTGCACTTGAAAAGAGTGTGTATTCTGCTGTTTTATGATAGAATGTTCTGAATGTATCTGCTAAATCCATCTGGTTCAGTGTGTCATTCAAAGCCATTGTATCCTTGTTGATTTTCTGTTTAGATGATCCGTCCATTGATGTAAATGGGGTGTTAAAGTCCCCTATTATTGTATTATTATTGATTAGTTCCTTTATGTTTGTTATTAACAGTTTCATGTATTTGGGAGCTCCCATGTTGGTTGCCTACATATTTACCATTGTTGTATCTTCTTCTTGGATTATCCCCTTTATTAGTATATCTTGTCCTTCTTTGTCTTCTGTTATAGTCTTTGTTTTAATGTCTATTTTGTCCAATATAAGGATTGCTACCCCAGCTTTCTTTTGACACCGATTTGCATGATAAATGTTCTCCATCTCCTCACTTTCCGTCTGCAGGTGACTTTTGTTCCAAAATGAGTTTTGTAGGCAGCATATAGATGGGTTTGTTTAACCATTCTGTCAACTTATGTCTTTTGATTGGAGCATTTAGTCCATTTCCACTCAAAGGAATTATTGATATTTATTTATTTATTTATTTATTTATTTATTGCCACTTTATTACCTGTTTTGTGGTTATATTTATTGCCACTTTTTTTTACCTATTTTGTGGTTGTTTCGGAAGATTTTCTTAGATCTTTTCTTGTCGTTCTCTCTTTTATGGTTTGCTGGTTTTCTTTAGTGATATATCGGATTTCTTTCCCTTTATTCTTTACATATTTATTAGTGGTTTTGATCTGTGGTTACCATTAGGTTTGTATATAATATCTTCTGCATATAGCGGTCTATATTAATTTGATGGTCACTTAAGTTTGAACCCATTCTTACTCCTCTCTTCCCCAGGTATATTGTGTCATATTTTACATCCTTTTATTTTGTGAATTCCTTGACTGAATTTTTTTTACAGAAATATTCATTTTTACTGCTTTGGGTTTCCTACATTCATACTGTCACTTTTGGTCTCTTCTTTTCACTCAGGGTCCCCTTTAATATTTCTTGCAGGGCTGGTTTAGTGGTCATGAACTCCTTTAATTTTTGTCTGGTAAACTCTTTATTATTTCTTCTATTCTGAATAATAGGCTTTCTGGATAGAATATTCTTGGCTGAAGATTTTTCCCATTCAGCACTTTGAATTTATCATGCCACTCTCTTCTGACTTGGATAATTTCTGCTGAAAATCCCCTGGTAGCCTTATGGGTTTTCCCTTATATTTTATTGTCTTTTTGTTTTGTTTTGTTTTTGTCTTGCTGCTTTTAAATTTTTTTTCTATATCACTATGTTTTGCCAATTTAATTATAATATGTCTTGGTATGGGCCTGCTTTTGTTGATTTTTGGGGGTTCTCTATGCTTCCTGGATCTGGATATCTGTTTCCTCCCCCAGATTAGGGAAGTTTTCTGCTATTATTTCTTCAAATAAATTTTCTGCCCCTCCCCTTTTTTTCTCTTTTTCTTCTGGGACTCCAATAATAGGAATGTTGTTGTGTTGGGAGGGAGTCACTGAGTTCCCTATGTCTTTTGCATAATTTTTTTTCCTCTCTTTTGTTCAGTGTGATTACTTTCTGTTACTCTGTCTTCTAGGTCATTAATTCCCATTCCTCTGCTTCTTCCAGCCTGCTTTTCATTCCATCAAGTGTGTTTCTCATTTTGTTTATAGAGCCCTTGATCTCTGCTATGTTATTCTTTATCTCTGTGTTAAAGGTCTCACTCATGTCTTTGACTTTTTTCTCAAGTCCAGTGAGTATCTTTGTAATATTATCTATCAGGCATATTGCTAATATATATTTTACTTACACCTCTGGCTGTGGCCTTGTATTGTTCTTTCATTTGGGACAAATTCTTCTGTTTTCTCATTTTGTCTAAATTTCTATGCATGTGTCTTTGTTCAGAAAGTTAGCTACTTCTTGGGGCGCCTGGGTGGCTCAGTTGGTTAAGCGACTGCCTTCGGCTCAGGTCATGATCCTGGAGTCCTGGGAACGAGTCCCACGTCAGGCTCCCTGCTCAGCGGGGAGTCTGCTTCTCCCTCTGACCCTCTTCCCTCTCGTGCTCTCTATCTCTCATTCTCTCTCTCTCAAATAAATAAATAAATAAAATCTTTAAAAAAAAATCTTAAAAGAAAGTTAGCTACTTCTCCTGTTCTTGAGGGTAATGGCCTTACGAAGAAGAGGTTCTATAGTGCTCTGCAGTGTTGTGACCACTGTCCCCCAGGGCCTGACACTTCAGGGAGTGTCTCCAGTGTGTGCTGTATGCACACTGCTGTTGTGTCCTGACTGCTTTATCCTTCAGACCAATAATCTGCAGAGGCCCTCTTTGCCTGTTGTGGTCAGTATTTGGTCCCTGGCCTGACTGTGGTGAGTTTTAACTTTAGGTGTGCTGTGGTCTGTTTGTGAAATGAGACCTCTTATCACCACTGCTGGAATCAAGGCTTCCCAAAACTCCCAGGTTGGGAGATGTGGTGGGGGCAGGGGTTCGGCTTGGTCTTCTGGGGAAGGAGGCTGGCTGTTCAGGGACTGAGGCAAGCATGACCGGGAAGGGGGGTTCCACTGGAGCACAGGGAGGTGGGACTTGGTGCAAGCAAGTTAAGTAGTGAGTGTTGGCCCTGTGCTGGTTCCCACAGGTGGCTCTGTGTTTATGCTGAAGGGTGGGGGAGGGCAATGGCACCTGCCAGTTCCTTTGTTGCCAAAGGGCTCTCTCTGTGAAAACTGCCTTTCTGCAACATGCTCCTCACTGTGTGCCCTGCGTGCTCTTCAGATTGCTCTTTCCAGCTGTATGTTGACAGGCTGCTTGGTTGCCTTTTCTCCAAGCCCCAATGTCCTTTGAGCTGTCCCAGAGCCAAGCACAGTGACCTTGAAAACCCCAGGCTTTAAACCCCACTGGTTATAAGAATTATGAAATTTGGCCTCTCTCACTTTCCAAGACAATTGCTATGGGTATTCATTTTTCCCCTGTGCTCCCTTGTGTGTTAATCTGTCCCTTGTCTTTCTCTGTGACCATGGCTCTCTCCCCACCTCAGTGGCCACAATCCGTTTCTCTCAAACTGTGTACCTCTTACCTCTTCAATGTGGCCTCTTCTTGACCTTTAGTTGCGGAATTTGTGGAATCACAGGTCTTTGGGTTGATTTCTGGGGTACTTAGGATGGTTTGATGGTTACCTAGGTGTATTCATGGGACGAGGCGAGGCTAGGTTCCTCCTCCTCCACTGCCATCTTCTTCCCGCCACTGCTGGTATCACTCTATTATTACAGGTTTCTTCTTTGTGTTTTACTGTTTTCTTGACTAATACCTATCAGTAGACATCTATTTTGCTGCATATGTATCAAGAAATGTGTATATCCACTCATACATACTTGGAAAAAATAAAGCTAAGTATATCTTTTGGCAGAAATAAGAAAGTTTATATAAAATTTTGCTACAGTTAATAAAGATGTGGGTTAGAAAACCATAAATATACTGGGATCTCAGACCATTTACTTACTGAGAGGAATGCATTCTGGAGGAGGGAACCAGCCATTCTCTGTACACGTCATTATAGTCTGCTCATTTTGAAGACTGTAACCAGAATTGCATTTAACTCTCACAGTTTCATCTTGGAGAAATGCTCGTTCATACCTTGGATAATCTCCATTTTTCAAATAATTGAAAATACATCGTCCTAAAAATCACAAAAATGATGAACAAAAAATTTTAAAAACCCATAAATTCAGGCAAAATAGTAAGTTAAAAACTCTTTGTACAATATTAAAACTATAATGCATAAGTAACCAAAAACTTGAGAAAAACTAAAGCTACTACCAAATGTGTAGAAAGAAAAAAATCAATATTCAATATTATTTATCTTCAGTTTTTATAATTAAAATTTGTATGAATGATATAGGTGTTTTTGAAAAGCTTCTATCTTTATCTGTAATGTGATTTTTATGTAGAGCTCCTCATTAAAGGAAAAACCTATATTGGTCTTTTGGCTCATAAAACTCATCCCTTGGCCTCATTTTTGTCATACAAGGCTTAATTGTACTCACTTATGTGTTTTCCCCCTCTACTATTTGAAATATGTACATCTATACAATTATAAAAAGGTTTACTTACTGCGGCATGGTACTGTTGGTTCCCAACCTTTGTGTGTGCAAGTAATGTATTCCCACCGCCTTTGTGAAGGAGTCACAAAATTGGAATCACAGGAATAGTAAAAATATCGTCCTGTAGCTACTGGAAAGTATGATCTATAGCTATTTTCATTGTATAAACTTCCATGTTTTATTTCTGGAAAATCACAGGGCTTCACTTGCAATACAAACAAAAGAAACAAAAACAGTATAAATAATATTTTACCTTAATAAACAAATCAAATTAGAAATGAATTGTTTCATTGGTGAATTATATCCTCTTATTAGCATAATTTCGCTCATTGCAACAGGGTTTCTAGGACAAGAAAAGTTATAAAATTCAGATGACAGGGATATATAATGAAGTCATTGCTAATGAAGTTAAAATTATATCTTGTGGGTCATATTATATATAAACTTGTACGAAGACTCTTGAGGACTAAGACTGTACAGACCTATTTAATGAATTCTCCTTGAGTATATAAATCTTAGCCCTGGTTGATTAAATGAGCATCTTGGTTGAGAGATGAAAGTACTGATTTTATTGCTCAGATCATCTATCTTCTTTTCCTTTCTTTTCTGTTCTCAACAGAAATTAGAGCCCTGCCTTTTCTTCTCAAACCAACTCAATATAGGGAGATAGTGGGATTTTTCTGTAGATTAACATTCATTAATTTATTTTTCTTCTTATTGTAAATAGTGTAAGAAACATAGAGAAACACAAAAATTTTCCATTTGCCACATTATGCAGAAAAATAATATTCTTATTAATGCCTGAAATCAGTCATTGAGGCAAGTTTTCCTCTTTTTATTTAATCAAAGAAATGGACTAAGAATATTTCTTAATATCTAAATAGTTAATTAAGATTATGGTAAACATTTGATTGTTATTACTAATTTTAATTGGAGAATGAGGTATTTTAAAATATGTCATACAAAGATCATAATATATATAACATATATTTCATACATAATATGTCATACTATATATGGTATATTTGACACACATATAACATGTATATCACATATAATGTGACATATATGTCATAATATGTATATATCATGTATGCGAGGTGATTAAAAATATGTCACATTTACATAATATGTCATGTATACCATATATAGGAGATGCTTCAAATATGTCATATAAGTCATAATATGTATATTTTAGAATAAAAGTGAATATTTTATGCCATTATAGTTTGATTCTTTTTAAACACTAAAATGTCCTATTTTTATTGAGGTACAATATAATTGTATTTTATTGAGTTATTCTTATAAATTGAATATTTTTGACATATATGTTCCAGTGTTCTGTTGTTTATAACACATTTATATATAATATTTTCTAGAAAAAGTTTCCCTTTTTGTTGGATGATTTAGAGATAATCTAGTGCTTTTAATACCAGACTAATGTTAGTTTTTTTTCCATTAAATGATTCGATTACAAGGCATCTTATGCAACACATGAACAACAGTTGCAGCACACACACACACATACACACACACACACAAGTATTCATTACCGTCTTCATCTTACTTAAGTTCACTGATCCATTTTCTTTTTTGTTTGATTAGAGAAATTTTCCAGTAGTTTCTGCAGACTTGTTATGTGGATTATACACTTTGAATTCTTGCATATGCTGTTTTTCTTTAATAAAGATTTTTAAAAAGATTTTACTTATTTATTTGAGAGAGAGAGAGTGTGTGCACAAGGGGTGGGGAGGGACAGAGAGAGAAGCAGACTCCCCGCTGAGCTGGACCCAGGGATCATGACCTAAGCCAAAAGCAGAGGCTTAACCAACTAAGCCATCCAGGTGCCCCTTTAATAAAGATTTGTAAATGATGCCTTCTGTAGGTATAGATTCTTGGCCTCCATAGCTCTCATTGATAGATTTTCCCCCCACTTTTTTTAAGCTTCCAATGTTGATATTAAAATGCTCATTTACTCTTATACCTTTTAAGCAAACTTCTAGGGTTTTTTTTCCCCTACTAATTTTTGAATATTTGGATTATTTTCTCTATCTCTTGAATGAATTTCATCATGATACATAAAGATGTGTGTCATTTAACAATAATTCTACCTTGGGCAAGCTTCAGTCTTTGGATTTGCAGGAACTGAGTCTTAAAGAACTCAATTAAATTAGCTGTGAAATTGTAAATGAGAGATTTGAATCCTGGTGGTCTGATTTCAGAACAACTACGGTTATCCACCTATTATGGTGTTTCAGAGGATATGAATTAAAAAAAACAGCCTGCTGAGATTTCTTTTCAAAAGGTATGCAAAGGGAATAAAATTAAAAGTAGGTATTATTATTATGACAAGCTTGGACCCCTTTACTATCTTCCTCTTTCTTCGGGGCACACTTAAATATGTTTTTATACTCTAACAAGATCATCTCTGAAGCAAATATAATATTTCACGTATGGTCTGATCAACACTGAGATTGGCAAGACTTAGCAGAGCCTCATTTTACCTTAGACTTCTATCAATGCAGGTTGTGGTCTTACTAACAGTACTGGTGGTTCTATCATAGTTTTGACTCAAATTAATCTCAAAATTGATTAAAATATTCGCTAATTTTTTTCGAGTAGGCTCCACACCCAGCATGGGGCCCAATGTGGGGTTTGAACTCATGACCCTGAGATCAAGACCTGAGCTGAAATTAAGAGTCAGATGCTTAACCAACAGGCCTCCAAGCATCTCAGATACTCAATAATTTAAAAAATATTTCTAATCTCTCTGTACTTGTACAGCTGATTCCTTTGACCTAAGCCCAGTATCTTATAGTTGTCACTACTAAATGTCATGTTATTAGTTTCAACCTAGCACATAGGATTCTTTTTGAAGAATGAATCTGTGCTAATGCAGATTCACTATCACTATCCTGAGAAATTCCACTTGTAAATTTGAACTATTTCCCCTAAACAAATTAAACTCTGTGATAACAGAAATGAGTCATGAAAATAGTCCTGAGAACAAAGTCCTGAATCTGATACTTGGGTGAGGTTATTTAATGAAATTACAAACTATCTCATAAACCATCTAACTGGTCAATTTCTCCATCTTGTCCAAAAGAACTTCATAAGGTCCCTTGGGAATAACCTTGCAGGGGCCCAGATACAGTTGAACTGATCTACCATTTCCATAAGCCAACCATAAACATGATTAAATATTTTCCTTATGGAAGTGGTTCAAGATGGATATGTAGGAGATGCTGAACACATCTCTACCCTTGAACACACTGAATCTACAGTTACATATGGAATAATTCTTTTATTATGTTATGTAAATCACCATATATTACATCATTAGTTTTTGATGTAGTGTTCCATGACTCATTGTTTGCGTATAACACCCAGTTCTCCATTCAGTACGTGCTCTACATATGGAATAATTTTGTCTGAACCCCCTCCCCCCCAAACTAGCTGAGTGATTTCTACACATTGGGCAAATGAGAAAAAAACTACATCAAAGTGGGTAGAAGAAATTGGGACACAATCTGACCATAAACCTCATCCCCAGCATGATGACACACAATTGGGAAGGAACTCCAAACCCCAAGCTTCTCCCTAAGGATTTGAACCTTACATCTGGAACCCCGATTTTAAGATTGGCACCTGACGGACAAGCCCCCAAAACATCTAGCTTTGAAAGCCAAAACATCAAGCTTGTGTCTATAAGACCACAGGCCACAGCTCACTGAGAAATAGTTCTTAAGGGGTCCACATGCATGGACTCACCCACTCTAGGGCCCCACATAGGGGAAGCCATCTGAAAAGTGCCCAGACTTTCTGTGAAAGAGACTTATTTGCCTATCTTAAAGCATTGGCCTGAGGGGCAAGCATTTAATTTGATACACATATAGGGGCTTACTAAAACTCTCTTCAAAGACAGAGGCCAGCAGTCACCTTCTTTATGTTCTCCCTCTGCCTAATTCCAGCTCATTGGTATCTCCAGGAAAGGAGCTTGTATCCTCTTTAGACACCCCCTGATTTTTACAGCTGCCACCCAGGAGACACCTCTAGATCACATGGCTGTGGCAGCCAGTGGGTCCTGCAGGACTATAACAAATAAAGAGAGTTCTTAACAGGACACCACCCCCAGGGCACAGGAGAGAGTCACAGATTGAAGCAGCCATCTTTCTGTGGAAAAGGTCTATTAGATTAATCTTCACTGCTGGGGCCTGAGGGGCAGACTTCTAATTAAACAATTGACGGCCAACTATAATCCTCTATAAAAACCTTGGAGGATAGGCACTCTCTTCAGGTCCTCCTTCTGCTGCCCTTCAGAGCACTGGTAACTCTAAAGGGAAGTTTGTACAAGGATCTGGTGCCCCAGTTTTTATGTCTGGGGCACTGGATTTTGTGGCTGCCACCCAAGGGACATTACTTGACTGATGGCCAGTGGGGCTTGCATTCATAGGTCCCACAGGACTGCAACAAATGCAGACAGTTCAGGGCTGGCTTCCACCCCCAGGGCACACTATAGATAGAGACTGAACTATGAACTCAGTCTTCCTACAAAAGAGGACTGTTAACCTTTCCTGAAGTTTCAGCCTGAGGGGCAGGCTTCTGGTTTGGCACACACCTAGGGGCCTACATAGGTGTTCTCTGGGGGATAGGCCAGTGGAGGCCAACTTTGTGATATCCTCTGCCTCACTCTAGGTCAATGGTATCTCCAGGAAAGAAGCTTGTTCTTTTCCATGGTGCCCTCGCTTTAGTGGCTCCCAGCTAGGGTATTCCTCTAGACTGCCTTCCTCTGGTGGCCAGCTGGGCTTATGATTGTGGTCCCATAGGACTGCAACAAATGGGGAAAGAATTCTAAACCAGCTACCACCCCAGGGCACAACAGAGAGGCAGGAGACTAAGGAATCTATTTTTTCTTGCAAAAGAAGCGTATTGGCCTGTCTTCATAACTGAATCCTGAGAGGCAGGCTTCTAATTAAACTAAGGGCCAACTGTAATCCTCCCAGAGATCTCTAGAGATCACAGCTCTCTCTTTGCTGCACTCCAGAGTGCTGGTATCTTCTAGAAGGGAGCTCATACACACATCTGCTGTCCAGCTTTTTCATATGGTGCCCTGGTTTTTGTGATTGCTGCCCAGGTATTGGCCTTTGATTGCCTGCCCTTGGTGGCCAGAGGGGGTTGTATTTGTGAATTCAAAGAGATGGTGGC